TTTATGTTCATTTTATCCTGCCACTTTGCTGAATTGACTATTTCTAGTAGTTTTCTTGCTGAGTCTTTAGGGTTTTCTAAAGTATAAATCAAATCATCTGCCTATAGAGATAATTTTACCTCTTTGCCAATTTGGATACCTCTTATTTCTTTCTCTTGTCTTATTGCTATTGCTAAGACTTCCAGTACAATACTGAATAGAAGAGGTGATAGTGGGCATCATTGCCTAGTCCCTGTTTTCAAAGGGAATGCCTTTAGTCTCTCCATTGAGAACGATATTGGCTCTCGGGTTTGTGTATATACCTTTTTCTATGTTGAGGATATTCCCCTCTAATCTTATTTTGTTGAGCGTTTTAATCACAAAAGGCCTTTTCTGCATCAATTGATAGGATCATGTGGTTTTTCTTTGCTTTGTTAATGTGATGAATTACAATGTTTTTCTTATGTTGAACCATCTTTGCATACCTGTTATGAATCCCATTTGGTCATGGTGATTTTTTTTTAATGTACTGAAGAGCAATGCTGTCTCTCTGGAGACTAAGGTGCATAGACCATGGTCTTCACAATCACTTGTTATGCATCAGAGAGTTGGACAATGACCAAGGAGGACAGAAGGAGAATTGATGACTTTGAGCTGTGGTGCTGGAGAAGAGTATTGAGAATACCATGGACTGCTAGGAAAACAAACAGATTTGTCCTGGAAAGGGTTAAACTGGGTGGCTCCTTGGAGGTAAGGATTCTGAGGCTCCATCTAACATACTTTGGACATGTGGTGAGGAGAGACCGGTCCTTGGAGAAGGACATCATGCTTGGGAGGGTGGAGGGACAGCGCAGGAGAGGAAGGCCCTCTATGATTGATTCAGTGACTGGGATAATTGGGATGGGAGTGTCATGTCAGAGACAGTGCGATTGGCACAGGACAGAGCAGAGTTTAGGGCTGTTGTACATAGGGTCGCTATGAGTCGCAAGTGACTCGACGGTACAGAACAACAACAACAACACTGTTGGATTCTATGGGCCAAGATTTTATTCGGCATTTTTGCATCTATGGTCATGAGAGATATTGGCCTATAGTTTTCTATTTTGGTAGTGTCTTTACCTGGCTTTAGTATCAAGGATGTTTGCTTCATAGAATGAGTCTGGGAGAATTCCATCTTTTTCTATTTTCTGAAATACTTTATGTAGAATTGGTGACAATTCTCTGAATGTCTGATAAAATTCACTTACAAAACCATCTGGTCCAGGGCTTTTTGTTGTTGTTTTTGTAAATTGTTTTATTACCTTTTCAATTTCTTCTTTTGTAATGAGTCTGTTCAGGTGTTCAATTTCCATCTGTGTCAATTAAGATAGGTTGTGAGTTTCTAAGTATCTGTCCATTTCTTTGAGGTTTTCATATTTGTTTAAGTATAGTTTTCTATAATCCATTGTTACACCTTTTTACAGTTGGTTCTGTCGTGACATTAGCAGCAACTGAGGAAAGAGCAGATTTATATCTAAAATTTCTAAAATACTGGAGCACCACAAGATAGGTAAACAAGCCAATTGAAAAACAGGCAAGGGATATGAACAGACTCTTCACCAAAGAAAACATTCGGATGGCCAACAAGTACATGAAGAAATGTTCAAAATTCCTACCTCTAAAAGAGATGCAAATCAAAACAACTATGAGATATCATCTCATCCCAGTCAGGATAGCAAAATTTAACAGAACAGCAACCAACAAATGCTGGCAAGGTTGTGGAGAAACTGGAACCCTTATTCACTGTTGGTGGAAGTGTAAAATGGTGCAACCACTGTGGAGGGCAGTGTGGCGTTCTCTCAAAAAGTTACAAATAGACAAACCATTTGACACAGCAATTCCACTACTGGGAATATACTCCAAAAAGACCATAAATACCACCCAAGCAGATATATATATGCACACCTATGTTTGTCGTGGCTTTATTCACAATAGCAAGGAGTTGAAAACAACCTAAGTGCCCACCAACAAACGAATGGATAGAGAAGATCTGGGATACTCACACAATGGAATACTATACTGCACTGAAAAACAAGGAACTCATGCATTATTATTCAAAATGGGTGACCTGGAGGACATTATGCTGAGTGAAATATCTCAGTCACAAAGGGACAAATACTGTATAGTGCCACTGTTGTAAAACAGGGCTGACAAAAACAACAATAAAAAAAACCCGCAAAAAACAAAAACAAAAAAAACCCAAACAGGGCTGATATCTTGGTTGGGGGGGGGGGTAGACCGAGAAAGATGGGTTAAATAATGTATACTGCACTGAAACAAATGAGGGAGAAAACGGGTATTAGTTATGACAGGAGTCTAGAACAAAGCCTGCATAGCGGAGTGGACCTGGAGGGAGGGACTGCAAAACAATGGGGGAACTTTTACTTTTCAAAGAGAAGAGTGTACTAGGTGGGGCTGGGGAGGGTGAGAGGGGGCAGGGGGGAAAGTGCAACAATGAATGAATGGAAATCCAAAGTCTCTGTAAATTTTCATTAAATAAAAAAAAAAAAAAGAACAGGAATTCCCACTTAGTTGAGCTCATGAAAATCATTTGGACCAATCCAAATGTTGTTAAGAAAACAAGGGGAAATTAGTTTAAAATCAGGGAAGGTATGCATTAGGGTTATATCCTTTCTGTTCAAGTTGCATGCAAAACAAATCAGGATTAGAGGAAGTCATCAATAACTTGCTTTAAGATGAGAAACCTTACTTGCATAAAGATTTGAAGAACTTGAAGATCTACAACCTTCAGTAAGAATTACATCTCACCATCAGTAACACTGTTCAGCATTGGAGCGAAAATACGCCAGGGAGAAATGTGTTCAGGATTGAATTTGGTCTGGATCCACAAAAAAATAACCATATTGGCAGCAGTCAAGAAATAACAATCTGCTGTCAGGAACCTCTTTAAAGTGCTAAAAAGATGTTGGTTTAACAAGATGTTCCTGACTCAAGCCATGGAAATGGTAATGAATATCTACAAGCTGCCAAAATTAACTTGTAAGTCTTGGTATAAGTGCAACAAGTGTGCAAAGAAAAAGATTTCCACTTTATTGCATACTTTGGGCTTATTATCAGAATTGCCTATTTTTGTGTAAAAGCTTAACTGACCCACAGTCAGCAAGGGTAGAGATCTTTCTCCCGGTCAGCTGCTGGTGGATTCCAAGTCTGCACTGGCAGTGCAATTCCTTACCACTAAGCCACCGAGCTGTGCAGGAGGTGCTAATCCTTGGAAAAAGACAAAATGGCCCTCAATCTTAGGGTTGACAGTGAGGTTGCTGCTGGACAGGGTAACATTCAGGATCATGACTGTCAACTGCCAGGTTAGACACTAACCTATCGCCATCAGTTTGAATCCACTAGCAGATGGAGACAAGCGGTTTCCTTGTCGCAGAATTGAGTCTTGGTAACCAAGGGAGGGTCAAATAAACAATATAACAAAGTGGTGAGCAAGCAGTGAAAATACCTAATGATCAGCTCTCAAAAATTACAGCCTACAAAAGTCCATGGGACTGTCAAGATGCTGCCTCAATTACAAATCCATAGTTCCAGCTAGGTTTAAGTAACAGGATGAACAAGTTGGCCATTTCCTTCCGGTTTTACATGTTAGTTTTAAGTTGCAAGGGTTAAGAAAATTCAGTGGAAACTTGGCAGACACTAGGTAGGCACCACTTGTACCAACTCAGCAGTTAAGTGTGTAAGAGTGAATTTATCAATGCCTACAAGTAAGGTCTGGAAGCAGGAGTGGCATCCGCTTCCAAAATGACTTGCCTCCGGAAACTATGTATGAACAGTGCTCAGGCTGTTCATTCATAGGGTCACTATGAGTCGTCTACAACTCGACGGCATTAAACAAGTAAGGTGATTGTATACTATAAATTTATTAAATAAAGCTATACCTTTTCTACAATAATGGTCTTATGCTCTCTAGTCCCTCCCACGTTAGTGATGTACAAAATCAATGCTTCTGTAGGCTGCGCCATATTCCACTGTGTGAATATACAATTTCTCAATCCATTTGGTTGTGTCTGAGTATCTGGGCTGTTTCCATGTTCCTGTGATGGTGAATGACGCTGCTATGAACAATGGTGTACCAGTCTCCATTTGTGCCTGAGTTCTCATTTTCTCACAGTATTTTTTAAATTACTATGTGCAGAACAAATGATTATATGAAAATAAACTGGAATAATGTTATTATGAAAAGAGAAACTCATGAAACACTGACCTCAAAACATCCCACACTGGTACAGGCACAAGATGACCTTGATCTTTTGACAAAAGGACACTCAACAAGGTAGCATGATTTATTATTTTATTACATACTTAAGAAAACAAAAACCAACCAGAAGGTCACAAATACCCCATACCTAATTTATCTCAACTACAAAAAGTGAGCTGCAGGTAAAGTGTATACAAAGATAAATGAGTTGCCTAGCTTTTGTTAACAGTGTAAATGCTTTGAGATGACTAAAGAACCAGGCTATCAAATAGAGAAGAGGAAAAAATGCCTGGTTAAGGATTGGAATGTTAGCGGAGTAATTTGCTGGAACTGGTCCTACCTTAAAATGTTATTTGTGGGGACATGGACACTTCAATGGGGGGGTGGGTGTGTGTGTTAGAGACACGGGACACCAACCAAAAAACCATGTGCCAGGCAATTTCTTATACTGGTTTCTAGAAGGCACACGTTTCTGATACCTTTTTTAAAAACTACAAATTACAGGAGACCCCAATATCTAGACAGTCCATTTTGAGGTATTAAATGCATGATGAAAAAGATTAGTTATATCCAAGTAAAAGGCAATAAAAATAGTTTTAAACCAACATGGTTAAATGTTAAGATTTTTAAGAAATCAAAATATTTTTATTCAGGTCATTTTAAACTAAATAAATCTTCCATGGCTAATGATTGATGTGCAAGTAATGCTGCTGGCTTTCACATTCCTTGTTTCCTTTACTTCATTCAGTCAGAATAAAGGTGATCAGTTGTTCTTGAACAGGTCAATACAGCTTTGTAAGAGAGAAACATTGTTCTGAAAGAAAAGCAGAAAGAGACCAATAAATCTTTAAATATACCACATATGTCTAAGAGTTCAATTCAAACCCACACGACATTTTAGGACTAGTGGATTTCTCTCCAATCCTTCTGTCTCCCTCACCTCCATTTGCTCCCAAATGCAGTTTTACTAGATCTGCTAACTGTAAATCTCAAGTGGATAATAAACACATTTACGATGTAGTCAGTGTCCCTAGATGTAACAAACCAATAATGCTCTCAGCTGTTAAAAAGTCCATCCAGAAGTACTCCAGAGAAAAGATCCGGAAATCCAATCACCCACTGAAAACTCCATCAAGCATGCAGAACCCATGATCACATAGGAGAGCCAAAAGATAAAAGGCAATTCCACAATATTTATGAAAAACATTGTAATAAAAAATACACAACAATATTACTCATTTTCTTTCTCAACCAATGTCAGAGCTCAAGGATCTGTTCCCAGGTCCTCACTCCTGAGGTCTCTCTGCAGCACTGATAGGCTTAAGGAATTAATTGGGACCTTTCAAAAGTTGGTTTAATTTAAGGGCACTTACCTTGGCATGCTTTATTTCTAGTTCAGACATTTCTATTAGATTCTTCCGAAATGCAGCCACTCGTTTCCGTTTGAAACTGATCAATTCTATACGAAGAGATAAAGCATTCAAGATTACCAAGAAAGTGAAACCATTTCCCCCTTTAGCCAAACATGTATCAAGTCTCCCCCAAGCTGTCAAATGTTTAAAATAAACCACCCCAAAACAAAAACATAACAATAAAGGATACTATTGGGTAAGTTAAAAAAAAAACAAAACAAAAAAACAAAACAAAACCACAACTGGACAGAAAAATGTCCAATTTCATGATTTTAAAGAATTGCTTATCTTTTCTACTGTCTATATACTACAGACATGATCTATCTACAGGGTATGCTATCTTACACCTAGGTTCTCATTTTCTGTTGCTTCTACTGGAACTCAGGATCCTTAGCTCACTGGAAAGGTGTGTGTGGGTTTGTTGTGTGTTAAGCAGCTCATTCATTAACTAAAAGTTGGGTGGTTTTAACTTACCAAAGAGCTCCTCTAAGTGAAAAGACCTAGAAATTTATTCCTGTAAAGATTATAACCTAAAAACTCTACAGGTACATTTCTAGTCTGTTACTAAAGTCTACACTGGGTAAATCTAATATCTGAACTATTAGTGAAGACTCTATGTATTAGTAGTATTTCTATATATTTGCAACCTTCCCTCCCTGTAATCTTTAGAGAACTTTAAGGTGAAAAATAAAGTGTCCCTGCTTTTTTACCTTCTTTTGCAGATTCAGAAAGCTGTTCAAATTTCTGGCAGCATTCCTGCTGATGTGCCTCTGCCAACCTGACATCTTTGCTTTTTAACCGGGCCTTATCCAAAGCTTTGTTTGAGTTCTCATAGTCTATGAGGGCTTTGGTACGTCTATATAAGAGATCCTGGGTAGAAAACAAAAAAGGTGTGACACTTCCTTTATTTAATTATCTGAAGGCAATTTCAGAAAACTAATCATCAACAAAACAGATCTGAAATAAAGACCTCTTTAAGAACTATTAACAAAGAGCAGATATCCATCCAGTTGCTAAAAGAGGTAGTTTAGACTTATGAATTATCGAGGTTTGTTGTTGTTTTTTTCTTAAAAAAGCACAACACAATGAAAAATAACTTTTTCTTTTAATTTTTTTTATTGTATTATTTTTACGCGTACCGTCAAATCAGATCTGACTGGTACAGGAGGAGATTGCCCCCTCCTTCTCCAGCAGAGCATCTGGTGGATTTGAACCATGTACCTCTGGGACTGCAGTGCAGCATCTTGCCACTAGGCCACCAGAGCCCCCTGAAAAATATCTTTTTAAAAATGAGAAAATTCAACACCACCACCAAAAAAACCCCCCCAACCAATAGCAAAAAAAAAAAAAGAGAAAATTACAGTTGGGTGAAGATACATCAACTATGCCTGAAATGTTTAATTTCCAGAAAAAGACAAAACATCAGGGAAAACCAATTATAAACATTTCAATTCCAAAGGCTCTTATCAATGTTTTATCACTTGTTAGGTGATTTTAAAAAATGCTTTGACTCATAAAAAGGTAGATACATCTACAATTCAGTAAAAATGGACATATACAATTTTTGCCTCATAAAGTCTTCTGACCATGCTTTCTCTTCATGTCCTGTACTTTAATACAAAATAATTAAAAAGAACATGTAATCTATTCTGAAAAGTGTTTGTCTTTCAAAATAGATGTTAACTTTCCATTTGAATCAAAAGTACACTACTGGACCTTTGAGGTCTTAGCAAAAATGGTCCTTTGTTATTCTGATGATTCATAATCTTGAGCTTACCTTTGCAGCCTCTATGTTGAGCATGTAGTATCGGAGAAGTTCAGTCAGCTTTAAATCTTCATCTGATGAGACTCGGTTTTCTATTTTCTAGAAAAAAAAATTTAACAATTTCTTTTTATTGCAAAGTATGTAAAAATATAAAAATAAAAATGAAAAAATTTCCTTACTCTAAGTTTCTCAAACAGCTCAGCAACCTTCAAAAGGTACCTGAAAATAATAGACATGATTTTCAATTTAAGCTCTTAAATATAATCTTAAGAATTCTCCAAGCATTAATAGTTCAGTAAATTCTAACTTGCCATTTTAGGCAGTATTTTCACAGCAGTAGAGAAAAAGTTGGAAAATTCAGGCAATGAGTGTTAACACACATGGGAGACAAGCCCCCCCGTTGTGGTCATTCAAGCCATTCTGCATGCAGAAACTGAAGGACTTTATCAAATGCCTGATCTGTAGTAACTGTGTCAAAATTCCAATGAAGTACCACTATGCCTCTCACACGCTCAGGGCAAACAAGAAATAAAAATTATAAGAGTCAGATTAGACATGATTTTTTTCTCTCCCTCATGTTCATCATGGTTAAAACGGCAAATTTCACTTACAATTTTTCAACATTATTCAATATATTATGGGGGGGGGGATGGACGGACCATGCCCACAATACTGTTTGTCTAATGTGCACATGCCACACTGTCAAAAAAAGATAACTCTGTGCTCTAGAGCAAAATAGAAAGCACATGGTTAATACTTACAACGTGCCATTCCTTGATTCCAACCCTAAACAACTTTCATGAGTGGAGAGCTTCTATGCTATCATTTTTATGGAAGTACATCATGGAGGTGTATTCCTTATAATTCCTAGTACGTCTGAACCTTTCAGAGAGTAGTCGAGCAGTTCACCACTGTACCTCCTTACCTGCTGCCACTTAGCCAGTTCTAATTTATGACAATCTCCCATGAATTTCTGAGGAAGCATAGAAGACTGTCATCTGTCTCCTTCACAGCCTGACATGTTACTATTACACTAGAGTTCCTGATTAGAACTCCTATATTATGCATTATTCTTTCAATTATACCAGTGAGTGGGGGGGGGGGTCTGTAATTCAGGGACTTGAGGTAATGTTCTTCCAACAAAAACTTACTTTTTGATGACTGTGGGCTCTTCTAAAGCCAGGCTATGTAGGGAGGCTGAAGTATGAATATAGTCATCTGCAACATCTGCAGAAACAAAGATAGCCCTTTTAACATAAACAGTAAGGCACACTAGCCAAGTGACAAGTTCTTAAAGCTGGTAGGTGAATGATATTTACTTTTATGAGATCTGGTCATTCTGTCAGCTTTTGCGCATGAATCTTTGATCTTATTATAGTAGTTAATGAGAAAATTCTTCTCCTGCTCAAAAAAATTATCCACCTCCTAAGAGAGAATAATAAATACATTTAAGTTCTAAGAATTTAAATGTGTATTTTGTTTAAAAAAATTCATGGCAAACAAGCTCATGAATAAAGTTTCTCTTCAGATTATTAAAGGGCAATTGACAAAATGCCATTTCACACCCTAGGCCAGCACACATGTAGAAAAACTCTCACATTCTTCAGATAGCACATCATCTGGGAATAATTTAGTCATGTCTAGTAGTGCTGTGGTCTTCCTTTCAGGATACATCTCTACTACTACCACTTCAACAGTTCATCCTGGTGCAAAAGTATCATCTTATCTTGAATACACGCATTAGTGAGAGTAAGTGGTTTTTGGCTAGTTGGGGAGCAAATGATGGAAGCAGTCAAGTATTGACTTAGGAAGTCAAAATGCTCCCAACACAAGCCACCTATTTAAATGCCAAATAAAACCATATTCTTAAGAGCATTCCTCCTACTCAGTACATATATTGTGGGATTCCTTACTCACATCTCAAGTGGCAAATCCAAATAATAGTCACTATAAACAATAACTCACTTAAAAAGAAGTGAATACAGAAACCATTATCTGTAATATTAAAAAGACCAATGTATCAATCTGATGTTAAGAGTCACACGGTATTTAAAATTTCCCAATACATTATAAAAAGAAACTACTGTTAATTAAATTAAGCAGGTACTTAACTAAATTTATCCATAATATAATAATCACCCCTATGGCTATTAGCATGAACTAAAATAATATTGTAAAAATGCCAAAACCCACTCACCTTAACTCCAGAAAAAAGGACTTCATCAGCACTTTTCACCACATTCTTGAAAAAACCACCAAACACTTCCTTGGTATTTTTCCGCCTAACACTTAGCTGAAAAAAGAATGCACAGCATGTATTACTTTCCCAGGTGCGCATTAAAGAACATCAGTACATGTTCCAAAATACTTTTTAGTACTTATAAAATGAGAAAAGATGTGTTGAGAGCGCTCTGGTGGCCTAGCGGCAAGAAACTGCACTGTAATCCCAAAGGTATGTGATTTGAATCTACCAGATGTTTCACTGGAGGAGGAGCAGTCTCCTCCTGTGCCAGGCGGATCTGACTTGATGGCACACAACAACAAAAAAGATATGCTGAACGATCAAAGTCACTAAATCGTGAGTGGCTTTTAAATCTTTGGTTCATAACTCTGACAATTCCATTGTGTTAGAAGATAAGAAAAACCTAAGCCAAAAATTCTCTAAGGATATGAATCCACCACATTAAAAAAAAAAAAAACCCAAACAACAACAAAAAAACACGTTTCATTCAATAAAGTGGAGGGAACGACGAATCCACTTTATGTTCTACTTAATAATCTGAAAAGTAACCAAAATGTAGTCTCAAAAAATTGTTTTATAAAAATTACAGTAAGATTTTCATTGTGTCAAGAAACTCAGAACTTACAAAGAATTTTGCATGTTTTTGAAATATAGCTTTAGCGATGTTAACAAAAACCATAAATACAGAACAAAAAATGCCTTACATCCTGATCATATTCCAGGAAAACATGAAAGTTTCGATCTTTACTGAGAACAGGGTGAGAAGAAAGTCGCTGAAGAAAGACTTCATGGGAGGATACAGTCTTCTTAAAGACAGCAAGATATTCACTAAGAAAGACAGATAACATCCAGTTGGCAGCCAGCAAATACCACTCCTCGCTCACACTACTATCTTGTTTATCTTATCAAGTCAAATACTGAACAGGACAAAATAACCTTTGGGTTTAACTAGTTAGGCAAAGCAGCAGTTGCCACTTGGAAAGTGCATGAAGAACAGATGGAGAGGGAAGGTGACTGAATGTGTATGTAAGGTACCAAGTTTGGGTATGTTCCAAGCAACATAATCATCAAGGCAGTTTTCTTTAAAACAATGAAGACCCATTAATTCTGTAGCCAGTATGGGTATAATTAGCTTGAGTCGGCAATTTAATTATAAAATTGCTTCCTCTCAGATTACTTTAGAACTCTAGCCTGTTTATAGAGGGCACTCCATCCCCAGAGCTGGGTCACGAAGGCATTCAAGTACTGGGTGACTCAGTACCTGGCATCATGGGTGCACTTCCCTAATAAATGAGGCAGAGGGTGGGGAAAGAAAGCACTGAGCACAGTTGCTGACAGCATCTGTACACTATCTAATACCTACATGTTAAGAAGGGTATGCTTTTGAGCCAAGGTAAGGAAGTCTCAAGGTTTCAAAATTTCAACTATTTAAAAATTTAGAGCAAAAAATTTTATAAAGAGAAGTACAGCTTTTTCCTTCTCACTCTTCAGTTATTTAGGTAGGTTTTAATGGGTGGGTTAAGACTATTTGCTTCAGAGAAGAAAAAAAAACCTGAAAAATCCGGTAGAAATTTTCAATTCTTTTAATACATAAATCTCCAAATGACAGACTTAGGAATACATAATTTTCTGCTTGGAATAAAGAAAAAGCCAGATTAAAAATCTCTTCCTGAAGACTTGAGACTTAATCCTGCTGCAAACTAGGAAGCATCAACATTGTTATGTGCTGTTGAGTTGTAGAGTCGCTTGCGACTTACAGTGACCCTATGTACAATAGCCCTAAACTCTGCTCTGTCCTGTGCCAATCACACCGTCTCTGATACACCCATTCCGATTATGTCCCTCCTATGTCCAAAATATGTTAGAGCCTCAGAATCCTTGCCTCCAAGGAGCCGGCTCGGTTTGACCCTTTGCAGGATGAATCTGTTTTCCTAGCATCAACATTGTTATTAAAAATTGCTCACTGGCAACAAACTTGATTTAGGTTTGTTTTTCCTATACTTTTTGCAGGGGGGAATGAGAGCATTAAATACATTTCTTTCATTTGAAAATTTTATACTCAGAAGGTTATTTTCACTATGCCAGATAGTCTCTAACATGTTTGGTATACACCAAAGAAAAGAAATACCTTTTCCAATTTGGGAGTTAGAGGAGAGGGTGTTGTTAGTGGTTTAAGCCCCAAAACCACATCCTACAAAATGTAGATTTTCAGAAAATGCTATTAAACGACTAATTAACTATACTTTATTCTTTACTTTTTAGTTTATAAGACACAGCTCATTAAGAAAATCTACTTACGCTTCTAGTTCTTGTTTCATTTTGGCGAATTCTTCTTTGGTCATTGATCCTTCACCCTCTCCCAATTTCTGCATCTTCTCTCGAGGACCATCAAAGTCAGGTTTTGTAGGAGCAGGTGGGATCTACAGGAGAGGCAGGTGTGACCATAAGCATTTCTGCTTCAATAGTGACATTCTAGTTTGATGTATCTGGATGAAAGATAATCCAGTGTCCTGATTTTCTAATAACTGACAAAAACGGTATATGGGCACTCATTTTTGAACACAAGTACTTCCTTCAGTTCAGTCATTATGGCCAACTGGCAAGACAAAGTAGCGATGATCCTTACATTAGCTTTAAAGTTAGTTTAAATTAAAATTCAATGAATTATCAAGATTACACATATTCAAAACAAAAAGATTATAAATTCTCTAGATTTCAATGGGAAAATGTTTAAGTTAGAGAATGGTCAAAAGATTCTCTTTTTAACTGAACGAAACATTTAAACACAAGTTTATGTACCAATTTCATTCAGTTCTTTAGTTTTCCAGTAACCAAGAATTAAATCTCAAGGACCAACAGGGATAAATTCAATCTGTGTAACATAGACACTTTATTTTTGGTGATGGGAATAACACTGAAGGCAAAAGAGGCTCTTAACTCTCCCTTCCTACTGACAGCATGCTTTAAGGTCTTGTTTCACCACTCTTTCAAGGGTCCTTCCCTCTTCTTTCCTTTTCACTTGAACTCTTTTGCATGGTCCACTTTTCAGTAACTATGCCTCTGTTCTACTGTCTTAATAAACCCTTTTCACTTGCTTTGCTAAACTAAAAAGAAATAAAAGACACAAGAGGAAAGAACCTATCAATAATTATCCTTTTATCTATCATTTCATGGCTGCTATACTATTCGTTCCATATTAAAACTTGCCAAGTTAATACACTGTGGAAAAGGTGGTAAAAATCCCGTAAATAAAATGGCCAGAAGAAATAAAAATTTCCAAAATACACTTACAATAAGTCCAGCATAATCTGTTGTTTCAATAAGAGTGTCATGTAGCCACACAAAGTCTTCATGTTGCCTGGTAACAGAAAACTCTGGGTTTTGAAATGTAGATAGAGTGGTCTGTAAAGAAGAAAACCACCATTTTTGTTTTCCTGAATTGCACAATGGGAAAATAACACAAATTACAGCATTATGCTAAGACCCAATAAAGACCAAGCAACACAACATTCTCCAAGACTACAGAACTCATTTACAATTTTACTTATTTTCTAAGAAATGTGCTTATAATTATTTTAATAAACTTTTCTGTACTTTTCAAAAATCACCTTCTCTAAGGCTTTCATCTAATGAAACTCACAAATTAAAGAAAACTTGCAGAAATTAAATCATAACTCTAATTCATTTCAAAGGCTAAACAAAACGAAATGCAGACCAAATTCCTATTGACATTAATTCTTTATTTCTCATTAAAATTTTAAATAAAAAATTATTTTTTTCCTACAAGGTTTGGTTAAGTGAAAAGCTGGGAATGGAAATCTATGGATCACAGACATAGGAAAAGCAAAGACAAGTGCACAACGGAGAAAGCATGAAACTGTACAGGTGACTCCTACTGCAACACTACTTTGGGCAGAGCAGCAGTCCTACCAAACTACGGAGCTTCACCACTGCAGGGAAAATGGTAAAACAAGGGCCATACAGAAATACTTTCTACAAGCAAATTGAGAGTGCCCATTTCCCCCACTTTAATAGCAGTAGAGCTACACAGAAGCAAAGAACAATCATTTGTTTCCCTCAAGGATATCTTACACGCAACACGAATAACAAGGTTGTTTAAACTGATGATGTTGCTCTGCTACTTACCTTTGTGTGTACTGTAAACTTGACCTTATCTCTCTCACTGAGTGCATCAGGTATGTCAATCTGAAGTGAAGGATCAACATTCAGGTCCACAGACACAGATCTTAGCTGAAACACATTTTTTAAATGTCCGATTAAAAGTCTACTTAGCCCTAAAAAGGTGTCCTTCCAAGAGAAAGTCATAAATTAAAAAGCAGTTTGTAAAAACCTTTAAAATAAAGTCACTGTTTTGAGAGAGGTTTCTAGATGTAAGCTGTGGGAAAAATGTCTTCAGATGCTTGGGGGGGGTCCATTCATAGTACTATGAACAAAGCAACCATATAAGATTTCAACATGTAGATGTCAAGAAGTCAATGTCAAATGCATTTCATGAGAAATGCATTTATAAAAAGCTAGAAGAGCTTTGAGGGTGTAAAACTAGAAAGGAATGACATCCCGTCATTCTTTAGCAAATGCAAAAGTTTAAATTACTCAAGAAATATTAACAAGGTCCAGGTAAGTAAGAAAAGTTGGAAGAACAATACAGAAAGTCATGTGGTAAGACTGTATGACGAGCTAAGGAAAATGAAGTTCAAGGAACTATTCAGGGATCCTGGAGAAATTAAAAAAAAATAAATAAAAAATCGTAAACACATGCTTAGTCAGTAGAATTCTTCTACTGGTCATATGAGGGGGAAGTGTGAACTCTGCCATGACAGTGAAAAATCATTTATTTTGCTGGAAATTTAATTTAAAGGAAAATAAACTCAGCTCCATTTTTACTGGTTTCAAATTTTTCTTTGAATGACATCATTCTTGGAAGTCAAATTCTTAAAATCTAGACTTTCCAGAGCCAAAAAAATTGGATCAACTTAGAAACTCTGACATGAACTGATCTTTAAAACCTTAAACAAAAAATATTTGCTGTCTCAACTAAAAGGATGTAATCAGTGTTACTAAACCACTTATGTAGAAATTACTGAGTTTATGTTTTGCTGTATGTGTGCCAACAAAATAAGAGATAAGAAAAGAAGACCTCTAAGAACAAATGTTTTGCTGCTGTATTTCACATACAACAAATTATAAACCCTATAAATTCCTGGAGAAATTAATGGATAATCCAACTAATAAACATGATTATCTGACCAAAGCAACTATGCATCTCAGACTATAAATTAATGGCTAATGAACTGTTAGGGCTCAAACTGTGCCTTCCCTTACAATGTGTTGGGAATCTCAATCCATCAAGAGATTCGATCCTGTCCAGAAAGGGTTTTGTCATGGTCAAATTATCAAAATAATGACACACTGAGACTAAGTGCGCACAGATTTAAATGTCGCATGAGGACTGCTAAGGAACCAAGGGAACACGAACTATAGCTGATAAGAAACATATCATCCCCTAGAACTGAGAAAAACCCCTTTCCTTAAACCAGTGCCCTTAAGTCAAACTTCTTGCCACCCGAAGTCTAAGAATGTAAATCTCAATTAATTCTAAAAAATGCAATTTTAATGTGAGTTTTTAGTAAAACCACAGTAAATTTAACAATGGCCTTTTAAGATCTCACTCTAAGTACTTTTCCTTCCAAATATACTCTTGATGACACCTATGAAATATTCGATGGTTTTGTGTAATCTTCACATTTCCACTTCTGAAATCTCTGCAAACAATGATAAAAGCTTAAGGTCAAGGACAGTTCATTTTATCACGACTTTTAGCTCTGGCATACTTCTAATGTTTCCTTCCACCTGATAGTTTACTAATGGGACAAACAGCATTCAAAGGAACTTTAAAATACTGACCACCCCAACTCATGTTAGTACTTGGCACAGTGAGGTATATCAAGTTATAATTAATGTGGGTAAGATGCCAAGTAATGGCAACAAGGATGTACCTCCCACAGCTCAGCATCATTTTCAGAGAAATGATAAATGCAAAAAAATTGTGAAAGGTTTAGTTTCTAAGTCAGCACTTGACTCTTGAAAACAACAAGTTTGAGTAAAAAAACAACTCAGCATTCCTCCTTATGCTTAGTTAACAAAACCAACAACCCAGAATCCCTTGCCACAATGCTCGCTAACTCACAAAGCTCAAGGCATATGGAGTGGGTTACTGTTAAGTGCCCATCAGAACTGACTCAGACCTGACCCTCCATTAAGTTAGCAACAGCAGTAAATCACATGAGAGAGGGCTGTTTATCTTTAACCCTTGCAGTAGCTAGTGGATTTGAACTGCATACCTCTGCACCTCTCCCTCACCTACTTTCATTCTCTAATATTATATTCAGAGCACCACTTAGCACTAGTACTAAGTCTGACTTGTGCCAGATGTTGAAAAGCCTCAAGCACTTCTTAAATCACTAGAGAACAGTTTTACAAATCATTCCCTGTTCAGTAACTTATGCCCAAACTTGTAATACTTCATCTCCCTATATGCCTCTGTAACAAATCCCCAAGTAATAATCTGAAAAAGAAACAAGAAGCATTTTATAAAGGAGGTTTTTTTTCTATTTTAAGAGGCCTACATATCTCTGGACAAGATAAAGCACTTTCCTGAAAGGAGACAACTCCTGAATGGAAGTGTTTCTCACCATGGTTTCCAGGAAATCCTGCAGTTCTAACCACCATGGGTATCATATATCCCACCTATAAAACTCCATCCTTAAAAATTCAGAATCTAAAGCACTAGACACTGTACATGTTGACTGGTTTTGCTATGTATTTTTTAACTCCATTAATCTCAATTGCTGGGTAGAATACCAATTTGGAAGTTAAAGGGTGTTCAATTAGCCTAGCTGTTGTATGGCATCAAGTCAGAATCAATTCATAGCCTTCAGAAGCACTTAATCACATGGGAGCAGGCAGTGGACTGGAACTGCATGCTCTTGGGTTTGCAGGATACCTTCTTAGGTCACCAGAGCTGTAGTCAGCTAGTTGACTGTAATTTCCAGTTTAGACTGGAATCATATCACACTGCCAAAATAAAAAGATGTACAGCTGGAAGAAAACATCTCAGTAACTAACCTGTTGGAATGGTCTAATTGTTGTTAGGTGCTTCACAGTGATCCTATTAACAATGGATGTGAATCTTGCCCTATGCTGTGTCATTCTGATATGCTAAAGCCCACTGTTATGACCAGTGGGTTGACTCATCTTGTTGAGGGTCTTGCTTTAAGTGATCCTCCACTCAGTTTCATATTTTCCGGAGGCATGTTTAGGAAGTGGATGCCACTCCTGCTTCCAGAAAGGCTTCAGGCCTTTTGTTAATAGGGTTGTTATGAGTCCTGCTCAACTCAAGGCAACCAACAACAATCACTACTCAGTTTGGTATACAATCTCAGTCAAATGTTGCAACCTCAAAGCTCACCCGCCAATGGGTTTTTGAGAGGCTACAAATTAATGGCATGGAAGTAGACTGCCCATCTTTCTTCCCACAGAGCTGTTGCATTAGCAGCTTAACTCCCTATACCAAACCAGAGCTCCCTTTAAAAACTACAGGGGGTCCCCACCTAGAATGCACAGGTCTGTGGTTGAGCAGTAAAGGTTTGCTGGGTGAGAAGCAGGGAGTCATGAGGACCCCTGGCTTGTTAACTTGGCCAATATAGAAGCTATAGCAGACTGAGAAGACCAACAGGTCTAGAATGCAGGAAGAAGAAATGGCTTCTGAGGTTGCAGCCATTGCCTAATGCCCCTTCTAAACCCAGCCTGGACTTCTGGTAGTTCTCTGTTGATGTGCTGTCCCAGTCGTTTTTGGATAATCTTCGGTAAAATCTTGCTTGCATGTGAAATCAATGATATTTGTCTATAGTTTCCACACTCTGTTGGGTCACCCTTCTTTGGAATGGGAACAAATATAGATCTTTTCCAGTCACTTGGCCAAGTGGTTGTTCTCCCGATTTCTTGGCACAACTTGGTGAGCAAGTCCAGGGCAGCATCTATTAGCCGAAATATGTCAATTGGTATACCAATTAAGGCATGAAGTAGCTGGCTTATATGCTTTCACGGAAGTAGTTCTTGCTTTTAGTAGTTATTGAAGCCTCCTCAATATAAATGAGCAAAATATAATGTAAGTGAAAGCTATATAAAACACAATGTATATATCATCTCACCACAGCAGCAGTGGGAAAGTTTAGCAGGGCAGCAAACAATAAATGCTGGAAGAGGATTGAGACACTGCTAGTGGGATTGTAAAATGAACAGTACAACTACTCTAGAAGGCAGTTTGGCATTTCCTCAAACAGCTGAACATAGAAACTCCCTATGCTATGACTCCACTCCTAGGGAAAACAAGAACTGAGACAAGAACAGATTTGTACACCACTGTTCACAGCAACGTTATTCACTATTTCAAGAACATAGAAACAGCCCAAATGTCCAACCCTAATAGAATGGATTGAGAAATTGTGGTATATTCACACAATGGAATACAATGCAACACTAAGGAGTGAAAATTTCAAAAAAATACTACATAATTTTGGTGAAACTAGAGAGCGTTATGCTAAGAGAACTTGGTCTCATAACAAATAACACAAATAAAGGCGTAAGATCATTACTGTATGCTGTTTCTGCCACTGGCCACCACAGATCTGATTTAAGATAAGCAGACCCTGAAAGCCACGAGACCAATAATCTCAAAGCCCACCACTCCTTCCCCTACAACAGGCTGATCCACAGCAAGACCATGCCAAAGTGATTTAAAAATTTCCTTCCCCTAACTCTCAAAGTTATTATCCTTTACTGTACCTTAGTTCTCAAAGGGGACAGAACTGAGAACTTCTGATTTATGTACTAACAAATGCCACTATTATTTACTTATAATTTTAAAAAGCTAGATAAAGGGCCGCAGGTGATCAGATTTCCACCATTCATCCTGGTGACACAAACTATTCTTCCAAGTAGTCTATCAACACACAAGCTGTCTGCAGTAGAACACAGCAAGACTGCAAGGTGCTGGAGGCTACCAAGCCCAAGTTCCTAGAACAGGAATCAAGCCTGGAAGAAAGACAGTGTAGCACACTCAGCGAATGGATAAACAGAATCATCATTTCACAAGGCCACAAACCCACATACAAGCCCCAACAAGGTAGCTGGGAGACAAAGTTATATTAGTTCCTTAGATAACTGTCTTCCTCAAATTCTAGTAACCTGTTAATCAACATGACACTGCAACAAATGAAAAGGAAAAATCTCAAAACCCCACACCAACCTCACTCACTTCCACTACTAAGCCCTTTTATCTAACTCTATTCTTTCTAAGGTGCTTCTACAAATTTCCATATCACTCATTCTAATGTAAGTACTTCATGTTATCATCAACCCAAGTGTCTTCTCTCCAGCAACACTGTTTTGCACTGCACTTCTTGAAAGATCAGGTCAAAAGAACAAGTTGGAAACATCTGCATTTGTACTCACCTGGCTCCAAGGTGAGGTAAACCAGCCTATACCTACCGGGTAGAATAATAACGAACCTACCAGGGCAATCTCCACCTTCATTTTACAGCCTCCTAAAATCCAGCTAGACCTGGTTCAGACAGTAATGAGAGCTGTTCACAGAGTACCTTGAGACCAGATGTCTCCTTAACCCAGCATAAAAACAAAAGAATACTGAGCACAAACTTCATTCAGGCATTTTCATTTCCCAATTAACAAGGATCGTTACAAACTCAAAAGAATAAACTATGATATCTCCAAACACAAATTCTCCTCAGGGAATTTTCCATTCTTGGCCCACAGTGCTTTCAGTACTGCATGTCTGGACACTAACTGGATATCAAGAAGTTGAAGAAAACCCATTTTCCACCACATTCTGATAAGGTTCCTCAATATCGTTAATTCTACCAAAATTATCCAACAGAAAATCAAAAGGGCCAAACTCGCCCAGCATTTCTTAAGCTCAAGGAACTGAGGAACAAATTCAAACCTCGGGTTGCTATAATCAAGGATGCTTTCGGCAGAATGTTAAATGATCCAGGAAGTATTAAAAGGTGGAAAGAATATACTGAGTCACTGTATCGAAAGGAATTGGCAGACACAGAAGAATTTGATGAAACAACATATGAGCAAGAGCCTATGGTGATGAAAGAAGTTCAGGCTGCTTTGAAGGAAATGGCAAAAATTAAGGCTCCAGAATAGATGGTATACTAATTGACATATTTCAGCTAACAGATGCTGCCCTGGATGTGCTCACCAAGTTGTGCCAAGAAATCTGGAGAACCACTTGGCCTACTGACTGGAAGAGATCTATATATGTTCCCACCCCAAAGAAAGGTGACCCAACAGAGTGTGGAAGCTATAGAACAATCTCACTGATTTCTCATGCAAGCAAGATTTTACTGAAGATTATCCAAAAACAACTGCAACAGCACATCAGCAGAGAACTACCAGAAGTCCAGGCTGGGTTTAGAAGGGGTCGTGGTACTAGGGATATTGTAGTTGATGTTAAATGGATCTTAGTTTCATTGACTATGCAAAGGCATTTGACTGTGTGGATCAAAACAAACTGTGGCTGACACTGAGAAGAATGGGAATCCCAGAACACTTGATCATGCTAATGCGAAACCTATACTTGGACCAGGAGGCAGTCGTCAGAACTGAGCAAGGGAACACTGCATGGTTCAAAATTGGGAAGGGCGTACGCCAGGGATGTATCCTATCTCCATGCCCTTTCAACCTATATGCAGAACAGATTATCCGGGAGGCTGGGCTCTATGAGGAGAAATGTGGGGTCAAGATTGGTGGACGATTTATCAACAATCTGCGTTATGCGGATGACACAACCCTGCTTGCTGAAACTGAAGAGAACCTGAAGCGCCTGCTGCAGAGGGTCAAGGACTGCAGCCTACAATATGGACTGAGGCTCAATGTCAAGAAGACAAAGATTCTCACCACTGGACCAATTGGCAGCATCAGGATGAATAGTGAAGAGATTGAGACTGTACACAGCTTTAGTCTGCTTGGCTCCACAGTCAACACTCTTGGCACCAGTAGCCAGGAAATTAAAAGGCGCATTGCCATGGGAAAGTCTGCTGTTAGGGACCTCTCCAAAGTACTGAAGAGCAATGGTGTCTCTCTGGAGACTAAGGTGCGTCTGATACAGGCCATGGTCTTCGCAATCACTTGTTATGCATCAGAGAGTTGGACGATGACCAAGGAGGACAGAAGGAGAATTGATGCCTTTGAGCTGTGGTGCTGGAGAAGAGTATTGAGAATACCATGGACTGCTAGGAAAACAAACAGATTTGTCCTGCAAAGGGTCAAACCGGGTGGCTCCTTGGAGGCAAGGATGCTGAGGACATGTTGTGAGGAGAGACCGGTCCTTGGAGAGGGCCATCATGCTCGGGAGGGTGGAGGGACGGCGCAGGAGGGGAAGGCCCTCTATGAGGTGGATTGATTCAGTGACTGGGATAATCAGGATGGGAGTGTCAGAGACAGTGCAATTGGCACAGGACAGAGCAGAGTTTAGGCCTGTTGTACATAGGGTCACTATGAGTCACAAGGGACTCGATGGTGCATAACAACAAACAAGGACAACTTAAGTTTCCGATTTCATGTTATCTGATTATCCTGTCACACAACCTGGTCTTACTATATTATGTATTACACCATTTTAGGGAATCAGCCAGGGCCACTGCTACCTGATTCCCACCCATAATCTCTAGATATTTCCCCCTCACCCCAGCAATAAATCTCATTACTATGACCTGAAAGACTATTCCAAATCAGCGGAAGGTAAAGGTGCTATTAAAAAAGCCTACAACACAAAGTATCGTGAATCAGAATTCAGGATGAAAATACCCAAGGCTTAACCTAAAATGATGTTCTTGGTCTTGGCCCCCCACCAGAAAAAAAAAAAAAAAGGCTTAAGCAGTATTCACAAAACAGGAACTTAAGAAACTGCAAACTACTGACTCAGAAGGAAGGCATGGGCAGCTTTAAAGTCACTTCCTTTTTAAAAACAGCCCACCCAAAACTATAAACCCATTAAGTTCAGGGAAAAGAAAAAAAAATTCTAAAAAATAGGTAAATTTTGTAAAAGGTTCCTACACGAGAACAGTTCTCCACCCCAATATATTACCTGTAAACTTCAAACAGCTATAAACGTTACAAATTGGATTCCAAAAAGTGAAAGGTCTGTGTAACCAACTTATTAAAGCACAGTTCTAACTTCTGCATCCTTTCCCTTCCTCCCTTTTCTTTGTGCTTCACTTTAGTGAATTCATGACAGGAGGCAGCCTCATGAGTGTCAGGGTTCCAACACCTCAACAGACTGCTTTCTGAGACCAGAGCCACATTCTGAGACTAAGCTCAGTATACATACAGAATCTCTGAGTAGGAATCTAAAAAGCTGAAGGTGACTTAGGAAGGGTGATTTCTACCGGAACAAGGTTTTGTGTAACTTTTTTCCTACTCTGTCAAAAGCCCCAGGCACTAGAGAACATTCAGTGTTGGGGGCAAGGGTTACTAGTCTAGTTAGTGTAGGAAAAAAAATGCAGTGTAGGGGGGAAAAAAGCTAATTTGTTGTGACATAAATTTACAATCGTCCCCATTAGTAGAGGAAGTTGGAAGCAAACCAACCATATAATTCTTTCCTGAAACTGTATTTTACGAGACAAATGGCAGAACCATCTAAATGCTATAAAATGGCGGGCTCTAAGTCACAGCCCAATACTTACTCCAATTCAAAGCCCACAAACATTCACAACTCACTGCAATCAAGTTAACTCTCCAACCAAGGAGCCACTGAGTGCAAAACTAAAGCTAAAACAAGTATAACTTACTTTTAAAGTAAAAAATACAACCTAATTAAGTACAAAGAATTTTCCTAGCATTACCTCATGCTTGAGTTCCAACTGAGAAGACGGTAAAAATCAGACTTAAATATTTTAAAACGTAATGCACACGACTGTACACGATACATTATGTAAGAATGAGTATTTTAATTCTATTGCTTCCTTCTGTGTAAAAAAAAAAAAAAAAAGAAAAGACTAGAATCCCTAATAATCTTTACCAGGAAGCAAAATCCTTAGAAAACCTGCTGGTATCTGAATGTGTTTGTGCTTTACAAACCAGGAGGATTATCTGTAACTAAGAAGGCACCTCGAGGGCTTCCATTCCTTCGTATACAACATCGAAACAGATCAGGGAGGCACTTTTAGAATGTTCTGGAAAGATGTTAGTACCAGGCGCTCAATTTTTGGCTTTACTTATTCAAGAATTTTTTCAACCTTCAGAGAAATAAAATACTCCAATCAAAGTACTACTATTCCGAAATGTTTGCTGTTTAAAATTGTGTGTGTGGGGGGGGGAAACACCTTACATTATTTAGCATTTGTTTCATGGCAATCTGCGCCCACGATTTAAATGCACGTGGCATGTGAGAACTCGAAGAGTCCTCAGGGGACTGCCGCTTCGGGGACGATTCTCGGCGCTGGGAAGCCTCGGGGCGCTCCTGTCTCCCGGGGTCGCTGCCGTGGGCTCAGCAGGCGGAGGCCGAGGACGCCGCCAGCCAGGGCAGGGCTCCGATCTGCTATCACAGGGTCGCAGTCAGTGCCCACTCCACCGCAAAGGGTTTGGTGGAGGGCAATTTAGACAGAAATACTTTTAAAGCACGTTGCTGGTCTTTGGTAACTGATGAAAAATTACTGCGCTCTGTCACTGCGCCGAATTCAGGTCTATCAAGCCAGAGAGATTAGTGTCAGCTTGGGCGCAAAACCCAACTGGGGCTTGTTAAATGTTAACAAACCAAGTGGCGATTTCAACCACATAAGCACGTCCCCAAGCGTCCCTCCAGCACACTGGACATGCGAGGGAGCATTTCCAGTCTTTGCCGCCGGAGACACGAGCAGCCCCTCGGTCGCCCCTCACGGTCAACGGCGCCAGGAGCCAGAAACTGCGAGCAGTGGGAGGGAAATCACGCAGGACTTCGGGGGGCGGCGGCGGCCGCAGCCGAGCGCGGGGAGCACCTCACCTTGCTGTGGTCCTCCTCATCCTGCTGCATCAACTCGGGAACCGCGGCCATGGCGACGCAGGTCTCGAGCGGGGGCCGCCTGGCTGTGCGGGGAAAGAAGATGATGGGCCGCGGCCGCGGCTCCGCCTCCACCAGCCTTCCAGCCAGAGGGATGGCTGGAGGAATCCGCACTCCGCCACCATCCCAGCAGCCCCGGGAGCAGCCAGCAGGACGCCACGTGCTAGCCCACAGAGGCCTCCCCCGTCCCCGCTGGCGTCCATCTTGAAGTCGGGCATATAAGTAACGCTGAGCCTACCCTCGCTCCGCACTGCGCAGAAACCGCCGACTGCTGGGCAGCAACCGGACACGCGGGGACAAGAACTATCCCCCAGCAAAGCGCGTCGCGAAAAAGGCCTAGCGCGCCTGCGGGGGCCACTTATCAATCTGCCCGAGCCCAAGATGGCGACGAGCTGTGACGTACGAGGGTCTCGCGAGAACAAAGAGGCGCGATTGGAGGCGCGCGCGCTTCTTCCTGAGGGGCTCCGCACAGTCCGCGAGAGTCCAGTGTGTGCTGCGGCCTTTAGCGGTACGTGAGCGCCGCAGGGCATGCTGGGCGCCTCAGGCAGCGCGCCCCTAGAGCAAGCGCCGGACCAATGAGAGAGCGGGCAACCGAAGAAGGCGCGCCTGTGTGACGACACTGTCGTGACTCCGGAGGTACGGACCCTGCCACGTGTGGTCGGGCGGGAACCCTGTTCTTCTCCTCTCACGTTCCTTCTTCCCTTCTCCCTGCACAGACTGCGGGTAAATCAGGGTCCGTCTCTGGCAAGGCAGGAGGTGGGCCCTGCGTGTCCCCCGTTGTTAAAGATGGAGTTCTAATAGTGCCCCCCACACACACACACCTTAGAGGGATAAGGAAAATCCGGTGAGAATACATAGGGTCGTCCCGTTAGGTAGAGAACGATCGTACACATTTGGGATTGAGGACGAGGACTTCTTGCCTCAAGCAAATTTGTTAAGGGTAAAAAGTCCCGACAGTGCAGTCCACAGTGCGTTGCACTGCTGAGAATTCTGTGGGGATGGGACATCGTGCATAAAGATGCACAGACACGGTGGAGAGTCGAACCGACTCCGCGGCAGCAGGGTGGTTTTCGGCTTCTTGGTCCCTGTGCCCCTAGTACTGGGCTGCTCACCAGAGTATTGGATGTGGCAGCCAGCTTCGGTAAAGACAAACCGCTTGGCTAGGAGTCCGACTCATGGCTAGCCTCCATCAGGAATTCCAGATAGTCTTCTTATTAAGGAGGGAGACTGCCCCTTATGCCCGACACCCCCAGGGTGCCATTCTGTAAAGATTGATGTTTGTTATGTGCCGTTGAGTCCCCTGTGACCCATAGCAGCCCTTATGTACAGCAGCTCTGAAGCCTGCCATGTCCTGAGCCCGTCTTGTTAATTCCAACACACCAGCGCCCATATCAATCCATCTCATCCCGGGTCTTCCTCTCCTGTGCTGTCCCTCCACTCTTCCAAGCTCGATGTCCCCCGAGGACCGGCCCCTTCTGGCCACGTGCCCAAATTAAGTGAGATAGAGCTTCAAATCCTAGCCTCCAAGGAGAGACTTCGTTTCACCCTCTCCAAGAGAGACCTGTTTGTTTTCCTAGCAGTCCATGGTATGTTCAAGATTCTTCTCCAGCACCACAACTCGAAGGTATCAGTTCTTCTGTCATCCTTAGTCTTTGTCCAGCTCTCTAATGCATAGCAAGCAATTATGAAGACCATAGCCTGATGTTAGGTGCTATTGAATTGACTACAGCTCAGCTATTCAGAGTTGGATCTGAACAAATGAATGGCCCCTTTGTTCTGTCTTGCCATTCACGATCTGCGACATCCTCAAGCCCATAGTGGCTGTTACTCTGTCAGTTCATCTTGTTGAGGGTCTACCTCTCCGCTGACTCTACCTTCCCAGCATATCTCTTTCCAAGGACATGCCCAAGGTGTGTGAGACAAAGTTTCACCATCCATGCCTCTAAGGAGCACGTTGCTTTTACTCTCTCCGTGATAGATTTCTTCTTTGGGTAGTTAGTCAATACTCTACCACTGTCACAATTCAAAAGCATTGATGTGGTTCCTCTTATTATGTATGCTTCAAATGGCATATGAAGCAATTGAAAATGCCATGGCTTGAATCAGGTACACCCTTGTCTTTAAATTGACATCATTTGCTCAGCTCTTTGGAAAGGTTTTTACAGCAGATTTTTCTCATGCAACACTGCTACCACAGTGAGTGTTGATCGTGGCTCCAAGTAAAATGGAATCATTGACAGCTACAGACTTTTCTCCATCTATTATGATGTTGCCATTGATGAGAAATGAGGATTTTTGTTGATTTTCAGATGTAATCTATACTGAAGGTTATATAGTGTTTGGTCTTCAGTAAGTGCTTCAGATCTTCAATATTTGGGAAGCAAAGTTGTGTAATCTGCATAACAAAATATTAATGGCTCTTTTTTTTTTTCAATTTAGTTTGTTCTTGTTGTTGTTGTTATGTGCCGTCGAGTCGCCTGCGACTCATAGCGACCCTATGTACAACAGCCCTAAACTCCGCTCTGTCCTGTGCCAATC